GATACATTTAATATTTTTGGATGGTACGCACTATGTGTCTTCTGCTATGTTTCTTCTCGATCTGATGAGTGTATCTACGACCTAAAAGGATCTATTTTACTCTGGTATCGTTTTGGGCTTTATTTCACTGTGCATGTTTCCGTATGTGGTTTGAGTTCAGCCTTTAATCATTGTTCTATTTTTCACTGTTTATATTTGATTCTTAAGCTCGCACATTATTGCATAAATAAAATGATAATGAAATCTGCCAGCACAGTACAGACAGGGTTAATTATGGTAAACATTTATTCCCCAGCCCCTTCTTAACATTATATAGCCGGGGAAAACTTCAGTTTTGAAGATTTCAGAAAAGAGCGAGTCAAAATGTAAGTGTGTTAAAGTAGTATTAAACTCTCGTCCTTTTTTTTTTAAATTATGAATTCTGACCAAACAAATATACATTGTCCAGCAAAAGATTTTGTCCAGGCACTTACAGTCATCATGGTTTAGAAGAGCTCCAACTCTCCTGAGCTTCCTGTCCAGTATAAGATCACAAGATACAACACAGTCTCCAGTAACTGTTCATCTACTAGCTTGGAAGAGGGGGGAGGGAGGAAGGATGAGAGGGGAGCAGAGGAGAAGGCAGTGTCTTGCCTTGCTGTGTCTTTGTGTTTGTGGAGACACACACAGCTCACTAGCACACACAAGGGCAGCTCCATAGAACCCTGCAAGGGAACAGCTGATTCTGCAGGAAAAAAGGGCCCTTTCACACTGGGTCTGTGCATTAATCACGCAATGGGCCTACTATGTGTTAACAGTCTAGGAGATGCATTGCTTTGCCATTCATTTTGAATGGCACCCCAAACGCACCTCCCACTCGCAATGCAATCCGTTGCATGCGTTGTCATGCGATTAAAAAAAAAAAAAGTAGTGCATGTGGTCCCTAAAACTTTTAAACATCAAGGAGAAACATCCATTGTGAGTGATATAATCAGCATATAAAATAGCCTTTTCATTTTAATATCCCTTTACGTTACGAATGGGAACATGTAACAGAGATAAAACAGGCGTTATCCCAATTTGGCTGAAAATGTGGAAATACACTTTAAGGTTATTATTAGAATTGTGAATAGTAAGTACCTCTTCTTATTTTAAACACCTTACTGTCTTCCTCTTCATGATGCCTCTGTTGTATATGCTTCAGGTGCTACTAAATATGCATTATCCTGTGCACGGCTTCTTCATGATTCATTTGCATACCAAAGCATTATTTCTCCATTCATCACACTTATTGTGTAGGATAAGGTTAGCTAGTAGTGAATAGGTTCAAATGGATGTTGACAGAGATGTAGAAAATATTTACATCAGCCTTTGCACTGGGGTCTCAAAATCAATTCCCTCGGGGACCACTGGACACATTTCTTCTCCCATGGAGGCTTATAAAATGTCATACTTCAATAATGTAACTATACATGGTAGCAGTGCTAATGTCTGTTTTTATAATGTCAGTATATGTGTTTATTTGTATGCAATGTCATTATATATTTTTTTGGGACGGTTTTTGTGTGTGTGTATTGTCAGGATTTCTGTGAGTGATGTTGATATGTGTGTTAGGATTTCTGTGTGTGTCATATCAGTATGTATACATGTGTATACAGTATGTGTTCAGTGTCCGTATATGAGTGTGTTTTTTTTTCCCCACATGTTTTAATTTTAATCATAGAGCCAACAGATTCACACATTCACTCGCACACAGAGAAATACACACACAGACAGAAATACTCACACACAAATATGTACACCCCCACACAGAAATACACACACACTAATACACACCCAATAAGGCCCCATTTACACCTGTAAGTTTAGGTGCGGTTAGGGATTCCTGCATCAGGAACTTGCGGTCTCTGGCAGCAGTTATCCCTAATCTGCCGTTTACAAGCGGCAGCTGTTACCCGTTCAAGTTAATGATCGGGTGACAGCCACTGCATGTAAACGCTGGCATGATCGATGCATCCAAGGAGAGTGATTTCTAACCGCATGTAATTGTATCACATACGATCACATGCAGTATGCCAGTGTTTACTGTGCATGCAGCAGCTGTCACCCAATCATTAGCTTGAATGGGTGACAGCTGCCACTTGTAAATGACAGATTAGGGATTCCTGCTGCAGGAAAATGCAAGTTCCTGATGCATGAATCCCTAATCACACCTAAACTTACAGGTGTGAATGGAGCCTAAAGGTGGCCATACACTTTACAACCCTCGCAAGACTTTTGTCTTGCGTGGGTTGTAAAGTAATTTAAAAAAACGTACGATCTGCCCATCTTGGACAGGCAGATCGTACTTGCGATCATCGCAAGCCCGCCCCCCTGAGGGGCGGGCTTCCGATGACTGCAATGAGGGGCGGCTTCCGATGACTGCAAACAGGCAGTGTGCGCATGCGCACACCGGCCCGTTCGGCGTTTGTCGAACAAGCAGGCCTGCTTGTTTCACGGAAGATGTGCGACTGTACAGTAGAAACGGTCACACGCCTTCCATACGCTTTGCGATTATCGTACGATCGCGCGATTCCCCGCGATTATCGTACGATAATCGTACAGTGTATGGTCACCTTTATACACACACATAGAAATGCTACACACACAAACACACACACACACACATACATACATAAAATAAAAGAAAGAGCTGACTCACCGGCTTACATTTTTTGCAGGGAGGAGGCACATTCCCTGGTGGTCCAGTGGTTCATTAGCATTGCCTGCATCTTTGGCTGGTGCAGACATTACTAGTCCTTCCTTTCAGTCGGCACTCATTGAAAGCTGTCAGAGCACATGCCGAAAGGAACTACTGAGTGCTGGCACCGCCAGGAGCAGCTGTGCAGTCTACATCTGACAGAGATGCAGACTGTGTAGCTTTTCCCCCAAGTCAGGTACACGGTCCGTAACTGCATGCTTGACTTGTCAGCCGGCTGCGGGGCGTATGGTACCGGTTTGCAGGACGATACTTTGAGGCCCCTGGCTTACAGTGTGATAATATCTTCTTGACTAGAAGAAAATCTTAGAAAGCTCTGTTAGATGATCGTATTTAGCATTCATACTGTCTAATCTACATGCCGGCTCTTCCCATTTTTCTCTGTCCATGTTATGAGATTATAGCAGAGAACATTATCGCTAGAATGTATCCTTTGAGATGGAATGATTGTTCTATAAATACTGCAGTGCTGCCAATCTCTAACTAGATTTCTGTCAGGATCAACTTCTATGTTTTGAACTTATTAAGCAGATATAACAAAACACTTTCAATGGTATATTTAACAGACAAAAGGGTAGCAAATAAAATAAGTTAATTGTTAGGGCTTACAAACACTAAAGCTGGCCATCCACAGCTCAAATTTAAGACAATTCCTTATATTCCGTATATACAGGTGAAACTCGAATAATTAGAATATCGTGCAAAGTTCATTTATTTCACTAATGCAACTTAAAAGGTGAAACTAATATATGAGATAGACTCATTACATGCAAACCAAGATAATTCAAGCCGTGATTTGTCATAATTGTGATGATTATGGCTTACAGCTCATGAAAACCCCAAGAACCCCAAATCCACAACCTCAAAAAAGTAGATTATTACATGCAATCAATAAAACAAGGATTGTACATAGAACAATATCGGACCTCTGAAAAGTACAAGCATGCATTTGTACTCAGTACTTGGTTTGGGCCCCTTTTGCAGCACTTACTGCAATTACTTTTGCATGATATTCTAATTATTCGAGTTTCACCTTTTATATAAATATACACACTATATTGCCAAACGTATTGGGACACCCCTCCAAATCATTGGATTCAGGTGTTCCGTGAAATTTCCTTGCTACTAAATAATTTACGGTCAACTGTTAGTGGCATAATAACAAAGTGGAAGCAACTGGGAACAACAGCAACTCAGCCACGAAGTGGTAGGCCACGTAAAATGACAGAGCGGGGTCAGCGCATGCTGAAGCGCACAGTGCACAGAAGTTGCCAACTGTCTGCAGAGTCAATAGCTACAGAACTCCAAACTTCGTGTGGCCTTCAGATTGGCACAATAACAGTGCGTAGAGAGCTTCATGGAATGGGTTTCCAGGGCCGAGCAGCTGCATCCAAGCCTTGCATCACCAAGTGCAATGCAAAGCGTCGGATGCAGTGGTGTAAAGCACGCCGCCACTGGAGAGAAGTGGAGACGTGTTCTCTGGAGTGACGAATCACGCTTCTCTGTCTGGCAATCGGATGAATGTGTCTAGGTTTGGCGGTTGCAGGAGAACGGTACTTGCCTGACTGCATTGTGCCAAGTGTAAAGTTTGGTGGAGGGGGGATTATGGGGTGGGGTTGTTTTCAGGGATTGGGCTTGGCCCCTTAGTTCTAGTGAAGGGAACTCTTAAGGCATCAGCATACCAACACATTTTGGACAATTTCATGCTCCCAACTTTGTGGGGACAGTTCGGGGATGGCCCCTTCCTGTTTCAACATGACTGCGCACCAGTGCACAAAGCAAGGTCCATAAAGACATGAATGAGTTTGGGCTGGAGGAACTTGACTGGCCTGCACAGAGTTTTGACCTCAACCCGATAGAACACCTTTTGGGATGAATTAAAGCGGAGACTGCGAGCCCGGCCTTCTCGTCCAACATCTGTACCTGACCACACAAATGCGCTTCTGGAAGAATGGTCAAACATTCCCATAGATACACCCCTAAACCTTGTGGACGCCTTCCCAGAAGAGTTGAAGCTGTTATAGTGGCAAAGGGTGGGCCAGCTCAATATTGAACCCTACAGACTAAGACTGGGATGCCATTAAAGTTGTATGTGCGTGTAAAGGCAGGTGTCCCAATACTTTGACAATATAGTGTATATACAGTGCATATAATAAGTATAAATATGCTGATTTTCTGCATTTGCTACTCTACTATGTACATACAAATAGGTGAATTGTAAATGAACCGGCTAACATTTTCCTTAACAAAACCGTACAAGGAAACAGGCAAGAAAAGCTACGCGTGACCAACCGAAACTGACTGCAGAAGCTGAACAGATAGTTTCAGAATTAAAGGTTGGTATTCTTTCAGATGTGTTTTATCACAATTAGAGCATAGGTACGGGTTGTACAATTGCTGTTCATTTTGCGTTTAGTGTTGGATAATTTAGCATTTAGAGATATAGAAGCATATTTATAAAGATTGGAAATCATACGTGAATCCTGTTTATTATATTACAGGATTTATATAGCGCTAACAGTTTGCAGAGCGCTTTACAGGGAGGCAGTACAGCTATAATACAATTCAAGACAAGCAGGCCCTTGTGAGAGCTCCCAATCTAAAAGGAGGGGCAAGTAATACAAAAGGTGGTAGCTATGTGTGGGTGAGATTGAGAAAGTAACATTTCAGTTGTTAGGTAGAGGTGGGATAGATTTCCCGGAAGAGATGAGTTTTCAGGGATCACCTCAAGGCAGACAGAGATGGAGATAGCCGTATAGGTTAGGGAGTTCCAGAGGACGGAAGAGTCTCTGTACAATCAACTCTAGATTTACCAAAACAATGTAATATGAGGATCAACTTAAACTAACCAATCAGTTTGTATCCAATCAGGCAGGCCCTTGCACCATTCGCTTGTTGGAGATTGTACATATAGATCGTAGCATGTATGGTGAGCCTTAGACCTGCTCCTCAGATCTTCACTGTGCAGCCCTGCCCAGCGCCACACAGGAAGACAGAGATCACACCCACGTCCAGCCCCTAGTATGCACATGGGGCATTCAGTCCTTTCATTTCCATGGCCGGCGCGTACTTGTGGCAGCCTCCAGCCATCCAGAGGAGTAGGGCTGCACAGGGAAGGACTCAAGAACAAGAGGTAAAAGTACATTCCAAATTTTGGATTGTCACCAGAACAAGAATAGATTGGAAATCTTCCAGTACTAGTTCTTGTGACCCTGTTGACCACCAGGGTTTTTGCAAAAAATGGGACACAGAGGGCAAAAAGAAAGACGGTGGTTATAACCCTCCCTTACTCTATCCAAAACTAAAAAAAGTTTTGTCTTTAGTTTTACTTTAATTTCCATCATCCATTTATAGGGATGCACCGATACTAGTATTTGCGCGAGTATGCTTCGGTGCCCAGCTCAATACTTCCTGTATCAGGAAGCTGGGCAGCGTGTCATTATCGGTATTCTGTATCAGCGAGTACCGGGAAAAAAATATCCGTACTCGATACCGAATTACCGGTATCTGTGCATCCCTATCCATTAATATGGTCCTGACAGCCATTTAAAAAAATAATAATGTCCTACCTAAAAGCAAGTATTTATATTTTACCTTTTTATTGGGCAGAAAACCTTCTCTGTGGCCCTCTCTAATTTAGCTTTGCATGTTATTAGGTGACGGGACCCTCTTTTGAGCTAAGCCTCCCCTATCTGCAGTGATGTCCCTAGACTTTTTGCTGCATGAGGC